TATATATATATATATATATATAAATTGATTTCAGAGAGAGAGAAAAAGAGAGGGAGAGAGAGAGATCGAGAAACATCAATGATAAGAGAGTCACTGAATGGCTGCTTTCTGCACACCTTCTGCTGGGGATCAAGCCCACAACCTGGGCATGTGCCCCGACTGGGAATCGAACCACCATGTCCTAGATCATAGGGTCAGTGCTCAACTGCTGAGCCACACCAGCCAGGCTTAAAGAGACTTTTTATATATTTTTCCTAATCACCCCCCATGGTGTGTGTTTTTTTAAAGAAGGGAAGTTTTTTTGTTTTGTTTTTAATCTTTATGAGATATAATTCATATACCATACAGTTTACCCATTTAAAGTATACAAATTAATGGCTTTAGTATATTCATAGAATTGTGTAATCATCACTACAATGAACTTTAGAAAATTTTCAATAACCCCAAAATAAACCCCATACCCATCAGGTATCCTCCAGTCCCCTAGCGTCCTTTCCCCTTCAGCCCTAGACAATCACTAATCTATTTTCTATTTCTATAGATCTGCCTTTCTGGGTATTTCATATAAAAGCAATAATATAATATGGAGTCCCTATGGTGTTTTAATAGGACAGACATACTGTATATTTGTTTATGTACCACACATATATCTGTGCTTTATACATAAAGAGGTTATTTTACATTCCCCTCCCAAGAACCAGTTTTTATTGCCCCCACTGAGAATGCATCATCCAAGGTGACATGTGGTTTCTGCACAGTATTTTCCTAACTAGCTGCAGATACCAAAACTGTGAGTCATTTGTTGACAATACACGATTATCAAAATGAGGTGTTTGTGTAATGGATTATAATTACTACCACCACCCCCAGAAACTGGGTACAAGGGAATGAACTCTTCATGAGCTTAAATAGAAGTGAATGCAATTTTCCTGACTAGGCTCAAATATGACTTTACAAATGAAAAAAACTGATCCTAAAATCTGGCCTCTTTTACCTGCCTCTACCTTTGAATGGACTTACTGAATAGCTTTCAGTGTCCTCCCTGTTCCATTGCTATTTTTCCTGTTCAAGCCCATGTTCTTTTTTACTTAGACAATAGACAGTAGTACCTCCAGTCATACCTTTCCAACCATCTTTCATATAACTGCCAGATTGAGCTTTCTAAAACAAAAATCTGACCTTTTAATACCCTAAGTAAAAAAGTATCCAATGGTACCCCCAGTGCTTATAGGATAAAGCCCAAATTACTTATCATGGAATACAGTCCTCCAGTTATAGGGCTTCAATCTTACTACATCTTATACTCACTAATTTCATTCATTCTTCACTCTATCCCCAATACCCAGACATAGGGAAATGTTTGCAAAACTTTGAGTATGCCAGGATGCTTCTTGTCTACACATGTTTCCCTTCCTTTCTCCTCCCATTTTCTCTCTCTTCTCTCCTTCCCACCCCATCTGGAGAAAACTCATTTTTCATATCAACTCCAATGTCATTTCCTAAACAAATATGTGAATTCTGAAGGGGGAAAAAAGGACATCTACTATGAAGGGCTCCTAACGGCTAACTGGACTCAGATTGTTAAAAAACAGAGGCTAGCAGTCATTTCTGCACAAGGCCTCTTATGCAAACTGCACTTCCCAGAGAAGCCTGTGCTGAACTGTCTGCCTGAACTGCGTTTCTGCCAGCTGAGCCAACCCTTCTAAAGGAGTTCCTGATAGCCTATTTCTTTTTTTTTTTTTAATATATCTTTATTGATTTCAGAGAGAGGAAAGGAGAGGGAGAGAGAGAAATAGAAACATCAGTGATGAGAGAGTCATTGATCAGCTGCAGCCTGCAACCCAGGCGTGTGCTCTGACCGGGAATCAAACCCTGATCACCTGGATCCTAGGTTGAGGCTCAACCGCTGAGCCACGGCCTGCGGGGCCTGATTTCCTATTTCAACAGGACTGAGGCTTTCCCCATCCAATGGGAACTGTGCAGCTCCAGCCAATCAGAGAGGCTCTGTTCTGACCCATCAGGACAGTGCCTTTTGGACCAATCAAACAGCGAGAATTCGGAGTCCCTATTTGCATGAGTATGCCTCAATCAGGGACCGGGGGCAGGGACTCCTAACCCCAGGGCTATATCACAATTGAGCTGTTTTGCACTGAAGAAAGTTTCCTTCTTCACCACACCCCAAATTGGGAATTTCTGCCAGCTTTGGATTCGCACCAATGACCAACCATTAAAAAATCCTTTGCTGAAAACTCGATCCCATCGCCCCCACTGTTTTCTGGGTAGAATTTCTTAATTGCTAGAGTGAAGTAACAGTATAATAATAAGTATTCACAGTAATCATCGACTAAATGAAAAAAAAATGGGTGTGTACTCTTTCCCTAGTTCATTAGTAGAAGAGTTAGCTGGTGGTTGTTGTTTTTTAATGCTACATCACTGTCTAGGAGAGCTTATTCATCCCCGTGGGCCTCAATTACCAACTCTCCACAACTAACTTCCAAAGAAGCTCCAGTTCTGAATCTCTCATTGCTTACCAGATATTCCAGTGGGAAAAATAAACCAGAGGCAAGGATAATAATCTGAAGTCTATTATAATAATCTAAGTGAGAGGCAGTGAGAATGGAAATTAGAGAACAAATTTAAGAGACTTCTGAGATATGAATTGCATCCAGGCCAGATAGGAAGACTCTTGCCAATGCTCTGAAATGCCACAATATGTACTGATGCCTACTTCCCCTATGGTGAAGGCTGACACCGTCAGTGCTCACAGAACTGAGGAGAGTCAAATATTTTCAGAGCACCACTCCTTTTCCCTTCCTTTCTCTTCTCAAAGTCTGACATCTAGGAAATCAGCAGAGTTGGGAAAAAGGAAAGAAAATTCCAGTTTCTCTTCTCCCTATCTGAGCTCCAGATCTGATCTTTGGTCTTGCATTTCTAAGACATAATATATAAAATCAACACTGCCGACTATTCTTAGTGATTG